GCAGAGAAAGGAACCATGTGCTATTTTTGAAGGCATGTGTGTTCCTCTTGTCTTTTCTCCTGTTTTACCATCTGGTTTTAAGGTCAAGCTTATGTTCAAAAGAATGTCTCTCCTGCTGCCCATGGTGCAGCAGCCAATGGGTGTTTGTCCTAATTTCCTATTTTAGCCCCCTCAAGCCTTGTCCTTCACATTGTGTATTCATTTAAAACCTAAATCTCATGTTGATTAAAATAATTAAGTTTTGATGTTGAAATAGGAACTTCTTTTATAAATCAGAAAGATTATTATTTAAGTTGAATGAAGACCATATATTACTCCAAACCAATAAATATCTTAATTATTTTCCATTTGAAATCATGCTGAATTTTTTTTATTATTAAAAAATTTAATATATGTATTTTTTTTGTGTGTAGTTCTAGGTTTATAGAAAACTTGCCAAGAAACTACCCCTCACACAATAGTTTTCTGTATTGTTATCATTTTATATTAATGTGGTACATGTGTTAAAATAGATGAACTAATATTAATATCTTATTATTCACCATAGTCCAGAGTGTACATTAGGTGCATTAGTTAGTTTTGTATAATTGCAATGAAATATCCGAGATGACTAACTTATAAAGAAAAGTTTTGTTTAAGCCCACAGTTTTGGAGGTTTAAAGTCCATATGGCATAGTCCATAGCAGGCTGAACAAATGCTGCCTTTGACTGCATCACCACATGACATGGATAGCAATGGTAGGAGTGCATTCTGGGAGCAAATAAGTGATTTTATATATATATCAGAATGAGAGTCCTGTTTTATTATTTAGTTATTTATTTTGGATTGAACCTTGAACCCTAGGGCATTCTTCCACTGAGCTACATCTCCAACCCTTTTTATTTTTTATTTTGAGGCAGGTCTCACTAAATTGTGGAGGCTGACCTCAAACTTGCAATCCTTCTACCTTAGTCTCTGAGTCTCTGGGATTACAGGCATGCACCACCACACCTGGGCCACAAATCCATTTTGAATGCATTGTCCCCAGTGATCTAAGGACCTCCCATGACTTCCCACCCTCTAGCTCCCCACCCACTACTAGGGAATGAATCCAGGTTTTGGGTATGCTAGGCAAACACTACTGCTGAGCCTCATTTCTAGCCTTATGTCCCACTTCTTAAAGATCCACAGCATATAGTTTTCTGTATTGTTATAATTTTATATTAATGTGGTAGATGTGTTAAATAGATGAACTAATATTAATCATATTAACATCTTCCCTAATACTGCCATCCTAAGGACCAAGCCTTTAACATGTGCTCCTTTAGAGAACAAAAAAATACCCATAACCAAACCATAACCCTAGGATTTACTCTTTGAATTCACTCTAATTCTACAGGTTTGACAAACATATAAGGTCATGTATCTACCATTACAGTATCAGACAGAATAGTTTCATTGCCCTAAACATGCCTTGAATTCATTTATTCATCCCTCCATTCCTTTCCTGAACTCTTGGAAATCACTGATCTTTTTATTGTTTCTATAATTTTATCTTCCAGAATGTCACATAGTGGAATCATCTGGTGTATTAGTCACTTGGGGGCCCTTTTCCCCTCACAGCTTTGGAAGCTAGAACTCCAATAAGATTAAGATGACACTCGGTTTGTTTCTGGTAAGGCCTTTGTTCCTGGCTCGTAGATGGCCTCTTTCTCTCTAAGTTCATATGGCTTTTTTTGTGCATATGTGTGAAAAAAAAAAGAGATACCTCTGGTGGCTAAATTGTTTTTTATCATTCCTTTAAAAATACCTTATTTTGTGGGCCAGGGCACATATAGTATTAGTCCCTTATTGTAGTTATGGGCATTTTTGAAAATGTGGCTCCCAAATATTTACATTATTTCCATTCAGAAACAGCTTTCTTCCTCCACTCCCACCACTTCTCCTTAACATTTTCTCAGCAGACCTTTGCACAGAAAAAAAAAAAAAAATCCAATGTAACTGTATGCTTTGTTGCTATGAGGTCTCCAGGCCAATTTCCCTGGAAAGTTAGGTTGTACTATCTAGGCCGTTTCCTTTTTATTTTATTTATATATTTTTTGGTCTTGAAGTAAGCCTAAACAGTCTGAGATCACCAAAATTAGCCAAAGAAAGAGTCTGAAAGAATCATTTTCCAACACCAAAAACCATAAAGGCTCTATTTTGCTTTTTCCTTGTCTTTTTGGAGAAAATCCTAGAAACACATAACTTCTGCCATCTCTTAATGTGTCATTGTGTGGAAAATAGTTATAATCCCATGAAGGGCAGAGAAAGAGAAATTATGCATCTGGCATGAAGCTTCCTTCCCTGCCGAAAGAACTAACTCAAATATTGCAGATAATGAACATTTTTTTTTTTTTGGAAGACGATTGAGTGGTATGCAGAGAAATGATTTAAAGCGAGTTTAAAGATTCTTTTAAATGTCAATAACTATCACTTTTCCCGGATCACCTTTGTTTGTGCATTTTGTGGTGCGTTCTGACAGTGCATCAGATTTCATTCTGTAAAGTTGAAACAACTCATGAATGTTTGAGAATGGCAGTGGTGGGGAAAACTAGGACCACAGTGGTCATTTTCAGTGATGCCGATTAGACAGAGAAGCAATATTTGTGTGGTTGCTGTCATGCTAATATGGAAAATAAACTCATATTGAATCTCATCTCGTATATAATCTTTTGGCAAGCATGAACAACTAACTCAATTCTCTGTGTTTCATGTGATAATTGCTGATCTTAACTGAACTAATCCACATAAATAATTTGGAATAGAACCAGTCACACTCTAGAATTCAGTGAAACTAACTATTGTGTTAAAACTCTATTGTAGAAGATAATTCCTAGCTTAGGTTAATCTTCCTCTATCTTTGTTGAATCATCAATATTTTCTAATTTATACCTTTCTGTGAATGATACTGGTGTTTTCTGAATGTTCTTTTCATTTGGGACTCCTTATTTTGTGTTACAAGTTTGTGTCTCCATTTTTTGTCTTACAACTTTTCCTCCAGTAGAGGTATCCATCTGGTAACTGATGAAGATGATAATAAATATAACAATGAGGACTCCTCTGATGAGAAGCCAGCCCATAATAAACATCAGATCCTAAAGCAGGATGTCAAAAATTACACTTTCATGCGATGAAACATGCGGACAATGGCTCGACGGATCTCCTTTGTCTTGGCGCTATAAATGAGAGGATTGAGCACAGGAGGCACAAAGAGGTAGATGTTGGACATCAGGACATGTATGTAGCGTGGGACATGTTTCCCAAAGCGATGCACTGTGGAAACTCCGATCATTGGCACGTAAAATGCAAGTACTGCCAGGATATGTGACACACATGTGTTGAGAGCTTTGAGGCGTTCCTCACGGGAAGCAATGCCCATAACAGAGTGCAAAATGAGCACATAGGACAGGAAGATAAAAAGCAGGTCCATGCCAAAGGTGGATACCAGAACAAAGAGTCCATAGATGCTGTTGATAGTGATATCAGCACAAGCCAGCTTCATCATATCTGGATGTAGGCAGTAGGAGTGGGAAAGAACATTTGATCTGCAGATAGGCAGCCTCTTGATAAGAAAGGGAAGAGGGAAGAGGGTGAAAAAGCTCCGAGCAGTTACAGCTAAACCCATTCCAGCAATGACTTCATTGGTGAGCACAGTGGCATAGCGCAAGGGATCACAAATAGCTACATAGCGGTCAAAGCTCATGGCCAGTAGAATACCTGACTCCATCATGGAGAAGGAGTGAATGAGAAACATCTGGATTAGGCAGGCATCAAAAGCAATGTCGCGGGCATCAAGACAGAACGTTCTGAACACAGTGGGCAGTGTGGCCAGGGACATAGCCACATCACTGAAGGACAACATGGACAGGAAGAAGTACATGGGTGCATGAAGGCTGGGCTCCATTCGAACAGCCTGTAGGATCACTGTGTTTCCCCCAAGGGCCACAGCATACATCACACAGAGGGGCCCTGCCAGCCAAGGATGAGAACTCTCCAGACCAGGGATACCAGTCAGGAGGAAAGAAGTAGGGTGAGTGACATTGAACAACCCCATGACTGGAAGAACCCAGGGTACTTCTCAGGGTCAGATCTGAGTTGGAGAATTCTAAAAGTTGTACTTACTGAAGGACAAAAAATCAGGAAGTAAGAGGGACAACTGATGGAAACCGATGCACTCATGAAATCACTGGTGCAGAGATGATACTGGCCAACTTCTCTTCTTCATATTTTATGATCACTGGACTATAGGTTAGGCTAATGCTTCTCTCTGTTCCATGGAAGAAGAAAGACATTACCCAATACCTTAAAAATATTCATTGATTATGAGGAAAATGTTTTCTTCACATTATTAGAAGCAACATTCAGTAGAAAAGGATTAATAAGAATTCATACATAATTATTATAGAAGGAAATCAGGAATTGGAGTGATCAGTAGCTATTGGAAGTGCTTAAATATTTTTTAAAAGCACTGTTTAATTCAGATGTGTCACTAATTAAGGAAAGAATTCCCCAGAACTAGTGTAAATCATAAGTGAGGAGAAGGGATAGTGGGGTGTGGAAGGAATTGACTACCTCTGGATATGGCAGAATTGCTGCAAAAAAGCAGCAATAATAAAAATAAAAATATATATTTGTGCAAAGACTCAAAACTGTTCTATTTTTAGAAAATTGTGAATCCTAAATATTCTATAGGTACACTAACATTCAGTTTATAGGAAGGTGTTGTTCCAAATGCAAACTTTCATACCTTTATGCAATCATATGTGTTCTCAAAATACCCATTATGCACAGGGACACACACATGCCTTCACAACAGTCTTACACTGGATGCCATTAATTTGCTAATGAAATACTCTCTCTCCCACAATCTCACTCTCATGTACAGATCTATTCACACACTTCTTGACCTTCACATTCTTTAATGTGCACAGATCTTGTCCTGATAATACTCTCTGTCCACACTGATATACAAACAGTGTTTGTATATGCAAGCAAACTCAAGTGTATACGTAGAGTTATGTATTCACACTGCATTTCTACCCATATGCTTGCAGGATGCTCAAGGCATTAATCCACTCACCACCACAGGAACTTTTTTAACCCTTGTGTATTTGACAACAGATTTTTTAAAAAATCCTTTCACTCATATTATTTAATTCCTACAGCCATTCTCTGTGGTAGTAACTATATATTGTTCATTCTTCTATCATGCAGATGTTTCTGAAATGCTGTCATGTTCACTGCCAACTGTGGATGAGCACAGTGAAGGCTGAAGGCTCTCCTCCTGATAGGTCTCTTTAGGTTCTCAGAGAATCCTCCTGTGGAGGAACTCCAGCAATACATGCCACTCTCTTCCCTTCTCTTCTTCCCCAACCCTGAACAAAGCAAGATCAGATAATGTTTTAAAAAATCCCTTCTGATAGGAGTGGTGGAGGAGGGGAAACTGGGAGCCTTAGGGAGCTGCAGTGACAAGAGATGCAGTAATTGTGTGCAGAACAACACAGGGAGCATTTCTGGGCTTTCCAGCACAGTGCAGAACTCATGTGCTCTGTGGTTCTCAGCAAGTCAGAGGCTAATGCTCTGTGTTTACAATGATTACAACCCTTCTGTTCTTAGAGTTCAGTCTCTGCACACCTGTGGTCCTCAGAACTGTGATTCTTTAGGATTCAGGACTTGCCAATCTGACTTGTATTTTGTTTCTCCCACCTGACTACAATCTTATTCTTTGTAATGAGGTATACAGAAGATAACAAAGAAGAGAACTGAGATAAAATGAAGAAAACATGAGGATAAGAACAAAGAAAGCAGACTCAAAGAAGAGCTCTGTTCATCATAAGGCCAAAATCATTTTGAGTCTGGAAATCTAAGTTTTAGAAACTTTTGAAAGAAAGATGCCTGACAATCCCAGGATCACACTCCTTCCTGTACTCTTACCACTGATATTGTGGGTTGTCTAGGTGGCTATCATAAAGAAAAAGAGAAAGAGAAAGTAAATATTCTGGGCATGCTATGTGCCAGGTACTCTGCAGAAAACTGCACAAACATTTACCATTTAATAATTGACAGATGTAGAAACTAACGCTCAGTGTAATTAGCTTGCCTTACAAAACTATAGTAAGTGATAAAAGCAAAATTTACATAAAGATCTGTAGGACTTTCTACTCTCTCATCCAGCTTTGTGAGGCATTATTAAGACATTAGTAAAGAAAACATAAAGGAAAATAGAGGTGTGCATGTTGGAAATTTCTCATCCATCCTTTCCAGAAGGAGGATGCCCTTGGGTGTGGCTTAAAGCAGATAGAAGAGAAGAAAATGGTACAAAAAACATACTACTGATAGCTTGTACTTCATTTCTTTTGTCCTGGAACCCAAAAGTTCTAAGTTACTGTGGTTTTATTGGACATTATTTAAGAATTTTCTGGCATTGATACTCTCTATGTTATTTTGCTTTTTAATTTCCTGTCAAAAAAGAGGTATATAGGAGAGGTTTGATAGGGTAAAGCAAGCAGGAAGAAATAAGGTAGAGATGGAATATAGAAAGACTTGTCTAAAAAATCATAGCTTCCAATCATTATTAGAGATAGCAAAAAACTAGAAACAGCTATTTGTGACCCATCTGAGGTTATGACTACTATTCTTTTAATCTCTGGAACTTTTTATTCATAAGGCAACTGCAAAGCTAGACCATGTGTGTGTGCTGTTAGTTTGAGCCATGGATGCCTGAACCATTACAGATTCCTGCTTCCCTCCATGAATTTTCAGTATTCATTTATTCAGTAATGTTAATGAATTATAGAAACTGACTTTTGAAGCTAAGAGTCACAGAGAATTCAATGATGGCAAGTAAGTCGTCTAGAGAAGCACAGGGAACTTCCTAGGGTGGCACAATCAGTTAGTGGCAATATCAGGACAAGAACTCCAAGTCCAGGGATCTTTCTGTCTGCTCTGCTGACTCTACTAAGCTGCTGCTGTCACCAGGCTCTCCCACTTCTCCTCTGCCTACCTCTATCCAGTTTAACCCTTTCTTGAAGCAGGCTTTAGGAGACTCACCCCTTCAGGGTTTCAGAACTCACCTGAAGACAGATAGATGAGAGACATCCTCCCTCAGAACAGCATGTCCTTCAATCTGCTAAAGTGAATTCACGTCTGCCACTTTTATATCTATTGCTAAGCCCCAGGGAGAGAACAGTGATGCTTACTTTGTTTTGGAAAATTATTCAGTGGGGTTTTAGTCTCCTGAGGTCTTTAATGGCTGCTAGGAATGAACCATATACTTTTTTAGCTGAAAATCAACTCAGCACTTTCCAGAATAATTCTTCAGCTAACACAATTATCCAGACACAGTTGGGCAGGTGTTGTGAGAGAGGAGGTCATCACCTTCTAAGAGATCCCAGGTTTATGCAACAAGTAAACCCAAGAAATAAAGTATAATCAGAAAGTATCTGTTTTTACTCTTATTGTCTCTTTAAATGTATTAATTACAAAGGGCTAATTACTTCTTAATCCCAGATTTAAACTCAATTCCTTGCATTTTCTGGTCACATTCACATAATAAAATAGCCTCTGGAGAAAAATTGCAAGCTTCAGGAAGTAGCTTTTAACCCTAGAATTGGAAGCAAAAGTAGAGGCTTGGAATTATTAAATCATATAACCTTGGAAGAGGAGTTCTATGAAGCTGAAACTCTTTTTTTTGTACTAGAGATTGAATGCTTAACAACAGAGCCACATTAGCAACTTTTTTTTTATTTTTTAAAAAATTGATAGACAGGGTCTCATTAAGTTGCTTCGAGCCTCGATAAGTCGCTGAGGCTGGTTTTGAACTTACAATTTTCCTGCCTCATCTCCCGAGCAGCTGGGATTACAAGTGTGTATCACCATGCCTGGCTTGAAACTTTTACTTTTGAGCAATGCACAATGTTTTGGAGGTTCTAGGGTCTCATGACTTTAGAAGAGAGATTTCCTATGATAGAGACTTACTTCTGTGAGACTGGAGTTTGAGGGAGGATTCTCTGGCTTGTTCTGGGGTTCTGGGAATGTTGAGAAGGTGTAAAATGGAATCAATTCATGCAGCTGGAATTAACCACTTGTGATTGAATGAAGAAATATATCTGGGGTAACATAATAACCAAAAGTACACAGGAGAGTACAGGACACTTCTTTGGCCCAGCTTCTGTCCCCTATTTACAGATCTTGGCATCTGGTTGATAAAGAAGAAATGCAGTTTGAAGTGCCTCAGTCCCAATGTCACTAATAAAGGCATAGAAGATGGTATTTAAACCATGAGACAATGACACAATAGCCAGTATAATGAACCAAAATGAATTTAGTCCTGAAAATTGTTTATACAGATTTCAAAAGAACAGAGAAACTGAGCAGCAGATGGCCATACAGCCTAGAGACGTGCAGCAGCC